TGTTCTGTTTGGTTAGTTAGCATGTGCATCTAAGTTCTCAAGCTTGGATGTGGCATAGCACCCTGACTCTTATGCTTAGTTCTGCTCTGTTTGGGTAATTAATGATATATTCGTCTTTATTTCATAAGCTTTAAATGTAGTAAAAATTATGGGTGTTACATGTCAATAGACGTTTGAAATGGGTTATCCTCCAACGGACACATTTCTAAAACACATATAAATACCCTCTTTCAAGACTGAAGAAGGTGCTGGTCTATTGAAAATTTTCTAACTGTTCAAAGCAAGAGTGAGAAAGGGAGACAAAGCTTCAAAGTTTACATCCAGATCTCAAGAGACTTGTGCTACTGATTCGTGAAGATCAAGGCTCTCAAATCCAAGATCTCTTAGTTAGAGAAAGAAGAAATTTTTTCTTTAGACTTTGTAATCCCTACTTGGCAGAAGTAGAAAGAGGGGAGTAGACTGGTGATAGTCAAAAAAAAACCTGGTAGAGTTCAAGGCCGACTTTGTGTGGCTTGAATATCCTTATTGTACTAAGGGATAGTGCAATCCGCTTTAGGAGTTCCAATTCAGAAGATCGCGCACTACAAGAAATTTTACATTTGGTGACAACAGAAGTTGTCACCAAAACTATCAATTTTGGTTGCTATTGAAATTAGTGACTAATTTTTGAAGTCGTCAGTCACCTGTTGTCAGTTGTCACTATATCCTCCGTCACTATTGTAGTAGTGACGACTTTGAAAAGTTGTCACAATTACTCCAGACTTTTGTGACAATGTTTACGTATACTACAAGTAGTATTTGAGTGATAACAATTGTGGTCATAATAACGGTACATTTTGTTACCAAATATGTTATTATAAAAAAAATTGATCTAGTGACACCTAAAATCGTTGCAATTAATTACTCCCTCCGTCCCGAATTGGTTGTCTCATTTGCTTTTTGCACGCTTTTTAAGGAATTAAAGTAAATGCTATGTATTTTCCAATTATGCCCTTCACTTTTTCACTTTTGGAAATAAAAGCAAAAGTCATAAGGGTAATTTGGGAAAAAGTAGAATGATGGTGATGTTCAATTTTAGAAAGAGGACAACATTTTGGGACAAACTAAAAAGGAAAGTAAGACATGCAAAATGGGACAGAGGGAGTATTATTTTATTGTGACAACACTTTAGTCACAATAGTTGTACTTATTTGTGAGAAATGTTCTTGACTTAAAAATGATTATCAGTGACCTAAAAGTGGTAACAAATAATTACTTTGTTGTGGCAACGATCATGGTAACAAATATTGTATTTATTTGTGACAAAAGAAGTTAACTCTGAAACAATCATTAGCTAAAGTCATAACAACAATTCAATTTCTTATAGCCATCATCTTCGTCACTAATATCTTTAAAAATAATGACAGCGTATTTGTCGCTAAGTCACAATAGTTGTACTTATTTGTGAGAAATGTTCTGGACTCAAAAATGATTATCAGTGACCTAAAAAGTGGTAACAAATAATTACTTTGTTGTGGCAACAATCATGGTAACAAATGTTATATTTATTTGTGACAAAAGAAGTTAACTCTAAAACAATCATTAGCTGAAGTCATAACAACAATTCATCAATTTCTTGTAGCCATCATCTTCGCCACTAATATCTATAAAAATAGTGACAAGTTGTTGCTAAAATACTGAAAATTACTGGCAAATTTTGTGTCACTAAAATAAGTTGAAATAGTGTCACTATTGTCAATATTGATGTTTTTATTAGTGACCATTACTTGATCAAAAATATTTTTTAAAAATAATACTAGCCAAATGCGAACAATATAAAATTATTTATTTCAAAATCTTGTCAAAATTATATGTTTTAATTTAATTATAATTATTATCTGAAATAAAATAATTCATTCAACAAATGTTACTCGTTAATTTAAATATTTATAAAAAAGACATCATTCTCTAACAAATATATGTTGTAAGAAATACAACAGAATCCAAATAAAAACTTTTTAAAATAAAATGTCTTAATTATTACTTGATGGAGATGCATTGCTTTAGCATATTTGGAAGTCATTGCTAAGCAGGGACGGAGCCAGAAAATATGTTGAGGGGGGGCAAAGAAGTAGGGATGGATTCAATGGCGGATTCAGAATTTTTTTTAGTGAGGGAAAAAAATTAAAATAAAAGAGAAAGTTTAAAAAAAAAAATTGAAATACTTAAGAAGTATAACAATAAATATTGTTGGATATAGTAAAAAATAAAACATATTGAAACTTTATAAAAATATTTATAACAAAATATGAAACATAATTAATTTGATAAAACAATTCGAATATAAAACACATTATAAATTACACATTCCATTATTAATATAAAGAAAGTTATAATGGAAGTTATATATATCATGCCAAAATTTAATTGTGTTAATCAAAAAAGTGAATAAGACTATAACATTGCCAATGCAAAGACTCAAACCTAAGTCATTCCGAAATTCATAAATATTAACTACCACATTATCTATCACAGCTTTTGTTTACATAATCTGTTTTATTATACTTATATGAATAATGTACTATATATACATATTATATACAATATAGGGGGTGGGGTGGGAGGGGGTGGGGTGAGGGGGGCAGCTGACCCCCCTGCCCCCCCCCCCCCCCTCTAGCTCCGTCTATGTTGCTAAGTGAGCAAAAATTTGTTTGATTTCCACAGCTTATTTTTCTAAAGCTGCTTGTGCGATTTTAATATTTTCGTTTCCTATAGTAAATTAAAAAAAAAAAAAACAATATATAAGTATACAATATTATATATAAAAAGAAGATTAAATTTTAAACTCAAAAAATTTAAAAACTCACATCACATGTGTAACCAATAACATGTTATTCTACTCTAGGTACACTGTTTGATGTTTCAACTATTCCATTGAGTTGTTGATTAGAAACGTCATTGTTATAAGGCTCGCTCACCACATGAGAAATATTCTTATCAGTTGAACTTGTTAATGATCTCAGTCTTTTAAGATTGACTATTTTACATATATAAATAAATAAATAATTGAGTTACTAATAAATCAAGATTAATACGTATAAACTGAAATAAGATTATTATAAAAAATAAAAAAATATAAAAAAAAAAAACATAGAAATTTGTCTACCAAAAAATTTTAAATACAAAAAGACTATATCCGACATCAAAACACACAGTACTATATGTTAGACACATAACTTAAAGAGTTAATTTCACTTTTGATTCTATAACTATTGGGTTGTTGTTAGTTTCAGTCCACAAATTTCAAAACTGTTAACTTAGTATAGTAACGATTAAATTTTTTTCAATTTCTGTTTATCCAACCAAATTACCGACAAAAAATGATCAAAAAATTTTAATGGTTAAATAATGAGGACATTTTGATCTTTTGGTTCTTCTCTGTTCTTCTTCTCCATTGGGTTTCTTCTACGCCGGTTCTTCTCTGTTCTTCTTCTCTATTGGGTTTCTTCTACGCCGGAACCGATGATGGGTTTGTTTGCATCCAGAGCACCCAAACCAAGAAAATTGGCAACAATGGCTTCAACCACAGTAGTATTTTGATTTATAACTACAACATAAAATAAGAACATCAAGCAAGAAAAACTATCAAGCTCATGTGGCAAAAATTTAAGGAATTTCCTACAAAATTATGAGCAATTTGAAGTTTAAAACAAAGGACAAAGGTCAGAGAATCAGAGATAGCCCAAGGATAAGTTCGAAAGGGATTGTAACTAAAGTAGATTATAGACTAGAAGGTTCCATACTTCCATTACAAGAAAGTAGAAGTCACTGGCAAGAGGCAACCGAGAGTGTTTTTTTACAGAATTTTAGAGTGTTTTTTTTTCTTAAAATTAAAGCAAAACTTGTAAAGATTTAACCCTACAAATCCGTCTCATCTTATGCTGGGGCTAGGTGGCAGAGGCGACCGAGACGGTAGGGTTTAGAGTGGTTTTACGAACGATCTCTCAGGTGAAAGATGGTGTTAGATATGAGTTGTTGATCAAATTTAGATCAACAGTTCAAATAAATAGATTTTTTTTTTTTAAGACATTGTTATAAACCACCTATAGATTTTTTTTTTTTTAAGACATTGTTATAAACCACATTTTTGTTCTCACTAGACATCAATGGCCCACGGGTTGTTGTGTATGTTTACGTGATGGTGAGGTAAATGTTGACAAACTCAATTTTAAGAAGACAGCACCACGAGAGCTGGCCACTCATAAGCAATAAAACCTACATTTCTATTTCCATTAACTAATTGTTGAAACATGATTGCAAAAGGATAGTGGTTGTGTTTTGGGACTGCAAAAAAAAAAAAAAAAAAAAAAAAAAAAAAAAAAAAAAAAAAACACCTTAAAAAGGAAAATAACGCACCTTGAAAGCAATGCACTTTAAGAAAGAAAACCACCCACCTTAAGAAGAAAAACAACTCACTTTAAGAAAAACAACGCAAAAAAACTCTTTAGACCAATGCACCTTAAATTTTAACAACTAACGCACTTGCACACAACATAGAAACCACGCAACTTAAAAGAAGAAAAACCACACACCTTAAATTTTACCTAAACGCAAAAAGACCAAATTGCCACCGCGTTTTTTTATCCTTGTTAATCATGGACGTTAATCTCACAAGATCAATGATTGTCATCTCACCACCACATTCGCACCCGAGCACACCATCCACATTTGATCCGTATTATATATATATGTGCTGTTATGTACTAATGTACATTGGCATATTTGTTCTATATGATTATAAATCATAATGTGGTAGGGTCATAATATTGCTTCTATATGTTTATAAAACAAAGCTTACTGTTGTATATAAACATAGTGTGTAGTGAAGAGTGTGAATGATTGTTAATTGTAGTATTGAAATGGTATCATTTTAGAGCATACTTTGCAAGGTGGACAATTGTTTGAGGTTGGTTGTTTAGTGGCTTTAATTTGTGCAGGTAGACTCTACGTACATACTCATAAAAAGCAAGCCATGGGTGCTTAGCAATGAAAAAAAAAAAAAAAAAAAAAAAGCAGTATTGTTAACAAAGTAAATTTTGTTATTCAAGTAGTTGAAGATGAGATGAGATGATAAAACAGGGACATGGTGGCACGATCTCATCGATCTATAAGCCCTTGCAGCCAGGAAGATCGATCCACTGGAGCTGGATTTCGACCTCGCCACGTTCAACGTTTCTCAACCTCAGACACATATCTTGTATCACCTTGTGGTCTTTCCATGTCACACAGGACTCATCAGCTAAACAGTTTGATCTGCCTGGTTGCACTCTTGAAATCACTGTGTCACTTGGGAGGCCCTCTAGATCCATCTTCAAGGCGTCTATAAATGGTTTAATGTTGAATTCTGCATCTCCCATTTTGTCATCCTTGGTGAATGTGTCATGATCATACACCGTCTGAAACACACAAATTAAACCGCAGTGTAAAAATTGCATGTGTTTTGATGTTCTAATAAGCAATAAGCAATAAGTTTACCAGCTTAATAGAAGCGTCGGGATCTGAAACAGAAAGGGTCAGATCTTCATTCCACTCAGGATTGATATCCTTCCTTATAAAACGAGTCTTCAGCCTCTGCATCAACATTCAAGAGAACCCAGTTTTGAATCAAACAAAGACGAAGAACTCAGAAGACCCATGAATTGAAAAGGCAAAATTCAAGTATTTATTTCTGACCTGTTTGCCCATCTTGACAACAACGTAAGGATCGCTGCTCAGAACATCGCGGACGGCGAGGTTAATGCCTCGCTTGACACGCACTCTGAGAAGACCCAAGAGGCTGTCCATCAGAGATTGGGTTCCGTCGTCGCTTCCTGACAATGGTATACAATCCATGGCGCACGGCTTATGTTTGGTTTTTTTATAAGCTGTCGGGAAAGACAAAACCGACGTGGCCCCAACGTTTCCTTATTATTTTTCCTTTTTCGTATTTCTTCGCCAAATATTACTGCCAAATACCCAAAAAATATAAAGAATACACTTCTATTATAATCATCATGAAGAAAATGGGCACCAAATTGAGGGGAACTATTTTTGGTAAATAACATTTCTATTATAATATTATAGAATTTAGATTTTGTAAATGCATAGATATAGAAATGTATGTAACTTACATATATTGTGAAGCTTTTCTGATGCTACTCTCCTCTGGAATTGAAAAATAGGATAGGATGACAGAAAACCTCAAGGAGAGTAAATAGAGAAAAGCTTTTGATAGTTTTCTGGAGGAAACAAAGCAAGGCCGGAGATTCAATTCAGTGACAAAAATACTAGGTTGTGATATATAGCAGAAAGATTTGGGAGCAGTTGTTAAGGATTGGTGTATAGAATCATTAATTTTATGTTAGATGTCCACCTGGCAAGTTCTTGTACAAGGATGACCAGGTCTCTCCTCTTTTCTAGCTCCCATTTCATTCTATCATTTTCTTTTATTATGGCTTTTCTTTTCTTTAAATTCATTTTTTTACAAGTATATGCAAGTTTTCTTTACTATTTTTTTTAGGGGTGGGATGGATCGGAGGGTTAATTAAAAATTAGAGTTAATATCTCCAATGATCTTCTGAGTATTAGCAATTTGTGGTAATATATTATGTATTAGGTATGTTTTTGTAAATTTTTTACAGGTATACTTTGAAAGACTTTAAATGTAGGCCTTAAATAGCTCAAAGCCTATTTAGAACTTGTTTTGAAGCCTTTTTAAAGGCCTATATATTAAATAGGCTTTTAAAAATGTTTCAGGCAGTCGTTATATTATAGACCGCGGTGCATGTGCACCGCGGTCAAAACGACACCGTTTCTTTAAGTAAAGAAACGGCCCGCCGTTAGAGTTAACGGAGTCCGCTTATTTGGTGTATTAAACACCAACTAACACTACAGTATATCCAAACCGACACTACAGTTATATCAAAATGATACTGTAGTTATAGTGAAATGAAACTGCAGTGTATATAAACTGAAACTGAATAACATTTCACATATTTGAGTGTATATTGTACAATGAAGCTGTAATTATATCAAAATGATCATGTAGTTGTGTTTTAATGAAACTATAGTGTATATAAAATAAAATTAAATAACATTTTCACATATTTGTGTCTATAAATATCGAATGAAACTATAGTTATATCGAAATGAAACTGTAGTTGTGTTCAACTGAAACTGCAGTGTATACAAAATGACACTGAATAACAGAGTTACTTTTTGCAAAAGAGTGCGAAACGGCGAAAACAAACACTGTTAATTTTCATTTAAAAAAAAAACGCGCGGTGCATAATCGATTATGCACCGCGGTGCATAATATAATTTGCCGGTTTCAGGATAGGTCAAGTCAATTGTAGGCTCAGGCGGCAAATTTTATTGTGAACCATGGTTCACATGGCATTGTGGACCATGGTCTAAAACGGTGCCGTTTATTTTAATGAAACTAAACGGCACCCATCTCGTGTAATTAGCTTTGCTTGTATAAAATATTAAGTTTCATTTTATATACATTGTAGTTTTATTTCAGCACAATTACAGTTTCATTTGACATTATACATACAACAGTCTTATTACAGTGAAACATGTTATTAAATTTCATTTTATACACACTGTAGTCTTATTACAACACCACTAAGTTATAATTATAATTCAACTATGGTTTCATTGGACAATATACACTCAAATATGTAAAACTGTTATTCAGTTTCATTTTATATACGTTGTAATTTCATTACAACACAACTACAATATCATTTCGATATAACTACAGTTTCATTTGACAATATACATTCAATATGTGAGACATATTATTCAGTTTCTTTTTATACATACTGTAGTTTCATTTTAGCAAAACTAAAGTATCATTTCTATTCAACTAAAATTCTATTTGATAATATACACTCAATATGTGAGACATGTTATTCAGTTTAATTTTATACATACTGCAGTTTCATTTGAACACAACTAAAGTATCATTCCAATTCAATTACAGTTTCATTTGATAATATATGCGAGACAAATTATCCAGTTTCATTTGAAATACATTGTAGTTTCATTTTGTTATGAATATACAAAAAATACAAGATTTGTTAAAATGTAATGACTGCCGTTTCTTTACTTAAATAAACGGCGCCGCTTTCAAACTATGGTCCACAAAGCTCTATGGATCATGGTCCACATTATAACAACTGAGGCTCATGCTTGAGCCTAACACAAAGCCTACATATAGGCTTAGGCCCAAGTCTAGGTTTTAAATTTCTATAACAAGGTCCAGGCCTAATTTTTTAAAAATCACCTAGCTCGGCTTATTTCAACTCCTAACTCTTTTAATTGGGAGATCATGGGTTTGAGCCCTAATGGAGGAGATATTTACCCTTTGCGCTTTAATAGGTTGTGAAAGTAGATATTAACAGATAGTACATTCTAATTGAGTACTAATAAATTTAGACGCCCCTACTAATACTCATAGACAGAACATAGGGGTTTGGGGTGAAATAGACATACTTTTGAAGAATCAAAGTGAAATTTACTGATGAGTAAATACCCAAAATGGTCTCTCGACTATAGCTAAATTCACAAATTGGTCATCGACTTTGAATTTTAACCAATTAAGTCCTTAACTTTGCAATTTTAACACGATTTAGTCCTCCGTCTATTTGACCGTTTGTTGATCGTGATCTCTGAGGATATATATGTAATTTCATCGCCGCCCGTCCTCATCCGCTGCCATGACATAGTCTACCACCCAGCCACAAGCCACTGCCCAGCCGCCCTCATCCACTGCCATGACACACTCCACCGCCTAGCCTTCACCTACTGCCACGACACAATCCACCGCCCAAACACCTTCGCATAATTCATCATTACTGGCACCACAACCTAATTTGCAATCTTCATCAGGACCAACGCCACAAACAACCTTTTCAGAGTTTACTAGGCGGCGTCGCGATTCTCGTGTCCAAAAAGAAGCGCGTTTCGGGTCGAGCCAAGTACCAGCTCATGCATGTGGTCCGCACGCACAAGGGCGCCGACGATAAAGCCTACCATTGCGTTTACGAGCAGGAAGATCCGCAAGGGAAAGTCGGAATCAACCTCTCAAAAGACCTAATGGTGATCATCGGCGAAGCCCTCAAATCCAACATAACCACAATCGACCCGCTCGTTCTCCCGCCGTCGGAGCAGCTCCTCTTCCTCTTCACTCTAATCGACCGGAAAATCTTCAATTCCAAATGGAAATCCTACATTCCCGACTTCAAATAGGCCTCCGCCCGCGCCGTCATCGACGATCTCCAGAAGAACCTGCAACTCTCGTCGGAACATGTGGAGGCCTCCAGGATGACGCTGTACCGGTTCGAAAACACGTCATCTTCTTCGCTCTGGTACGAACTCAAATACATTGAATCTAAAGGAAGGATGAAGAAATGTGACATGATTTGGCAGATTGCTTTCGGCAGTGGATTCAAATGTAACAGTGCGGTCTAGAAATACAACCGAAACCTTAAAAAACCGACAATGGACCATGAAATTACATATATATCCTCAAAAATTACAGTCAAACAAATGATCAAATAGACGAAGGATCAAATCGTGTTAAAATTACAAAATTAAAGATTTAATTGATTAAAATTGAAAGTCGATGATCAATTTATAAATTTAACTATAGTCGAGGGACTATTGGGTATTTCCTCTTTACTGATTCAAGAAAAGCCCTCCCTCTTGTTCTCTCCCTCCAAAAAAAAATGCAAAGATGGAGGAGCCCTGGGAAGCACTCGACGTAGACGATTCCGACCTCCCTTCTCTCCTTCAGCCCTGTAAACGTCTCCGCCACCACCGCCGGAACCCCAACTCCGCCTCCGCCACTTCTTCTCAGCCCTCCTTTACACCTTGCTCAAGTTCTACTCAAATATCGGAACAGGAAAAGGAAGGCCAAAATCTCCAAGTTCTCCAGCCTTTCCAGCAATACGACTCCGCTCCTTCGCAGCCGCACCGCATCCCTGGTCCAGCCGGCGTCGTACAATCGGCGATGCTCCAGAAAAGTTTCGACCGTAAAAACCACGAAGTCTGGTCATCTCCGATTCCCACTCAGGATTATGTGAGGAAGGCAGTCGAAGATTCTTCCGAATTCGATTATGATTTCCACTCCAGTGCCTGGCTCTGCGCTCTTCAGTTTATCCGTACGAACTTCTAAACACTTAGATGATATATAGAGAATGAATGATTGAATATTATTAAAATACGTCATTCAAAATAAAAAGGAAATTGGTATTTCTGTTGCATATGTTTGATGTAGGTAAAGTGCCTGGAATCACAACTTTGAGATCTATAGTGAAATGTCAGCCCAAGGTAGAGAAGGTATTCCCATTTCTTCCACTTCTCACATGAGTATCATTTGGAGCTGAAAATGAAGACAAGTATGCTAATTGTGATCGATTTTACTCAAATGGATGAGGGATTTTTTAATTGGGTGTGCTTGTAAATTTGTTATCTGATTTTAGAACTTGTATTGTGATTGAAATGAAAAACCATAAGCATGTGGGCATACCCTTTATCTTTTGTACCCTTCGTCATGACTTTTGTGTTTTTACTGGGTGACTAGGTTGTGGCTGTCATAAAGTCTTCCAAACCAAATGGACTAGGTGGTCTTATGGTAACTCTGAAGGTAAGAGAAAGGGAATTCTTGATTGAAAGATTGTTAATAAGTGTGTTACTGATTTTTGTAGCTCGAAATCTAGGATCCAACAGGTACCATTGGTGCTAGCATTCATCCAAAAGTGCTAAGTGAGAGCATGTTTGGGAAGAGCATAATTGTTGGCACGGTTTTAGTACTAAAGGAGGTCTGTTCCTTAATTACTTATTGATCACTGATCGTATTGCTCTGTTTTTTTTGGTTGTTGGTTGTTGTTGTTAGGGTACTTGGTCTTGACTAGAGTCTTATTTCAGGTTGCTATATTTGCCCCATCGCGGTCAGCAGTTTATCTTAATATAACCCTCAGAAATCTGGAAAAGGTAAGGTGCTCATTCTTCATCTTTCTGCTTTTAAGATAAGAAGATACATAACATAATCGGGCATTCAACTCACAATGATCTGATCTCAAGCTATATCACCATGATGCTATACTATAATGTATTAATGCCAAATGTACCTCCCAGCATGCGCAACTATAGCGTCTCTTGTTGTGTTTATCATTTCCACATTCTGCTCTCAGGTTATCAGAACAACCGTAAATAAGGCATTCAATTGATTTACTGTAAGGCTATTTC